TCTTGTCGCCATTAAATAACCCATTGAGGTGTTGATATGCCGTAGAACAAACCAATCTGATCGAGAGGTTTTGAAGAGCATGGAAACACCTCTTAATTGACGCTTTTCCCAGGTCAACACTGACTCGGGGTAGTGGCATCTGTTAGGGTCCCAGCTATGGGCAAATAGTTAACCCCCAAAATGAAGCCAGGACATTATGAAAGTATCGTAAAAATATCGGCAATACGTTTTTGAAAAAATATATTACCATTAATACATTTGACTCTTGATTTTTTTTTTTTAAAAAAAAAAAAAAAAAAATCCTCTTTACAAAAACATGTCACTGAAACCGGATCTACAAACTGATTTCTTACAAATACTTATTCTATTCATACGAAATTATCCTAAAAATCTTGTCAGCATTATATAACTCATTTATGGTTGATATGCCGTAAAATAAAATAAACCAAACCAAATTCACTAGCCTAGGGTGGCAACCAGTCTTGGAGAAAAAATAATTTCAAAATCGTTGTCATCCAATATCGTTCCAGAGAAATCACAATTCACATACAAAAAAAAATGGAGACCCGCGATCGCTTACATCTTGATAAATATTTTTAGCTTAGCTTGACTCAGTTCCGATAGTATACGGAGTTCCAATTTAGTGGAACTATCTTGCTGTTCATCACTCTATCTAGGTACGTCCGACGTCATTTATTGAAATGTAAATTTATTTCATCAGGAGCAAGGCGATAATGCCACTTTTAGTTCCACACAAAGGGTTACTTAGGGTGAAAGTCTTAGAGTAAAACATTATGAAGAGAGGACAATACAAGAACAGATTTCAAGGAACCATCAACCGTCACTCACTCTAGTGAGTTAATCCAGAGAATACAAAACGTAAATGGGGAAAACATGGCTATTGTGAACCTAGACATGAAATCATGAAACACCGACATACCCATCACCAAATGCCTCAAAATATTGAGAAACCACCTCTCAGACATACAGACACACACACACGTGTGTGTGTATATATATATATATATATATATATATATGAAAGAGAGATATTAGTAGTAATAAAGAAAAAACTTAAAACATGTAAATCGGTTATAAATTTATTTCGGCATATATATATATATATATATATATATATAACATTGAAGTCAACACTCAGGCGACAGGCATACACACGCTCTATCTCTGATATTGAGCACTTTATCCCATAAATAAAACACACCTTAAAACTATATATCTTCATATATATATATATATATATATATATATATATATATATATATATATATATTCTTGTGTGTATGTATATTAATTAGGAGTTGTTATGATGATGTTTAAAGAAATAAAAACATAGATTCATTTCTATAAATTATACTGGACACTGGTTTACCCATATATACCTCAACACCCCCCCCCAACCTTTCCCTCCTCTTTACGTAAACTTTTTTTTCTTCCCTAACTTCTTTCTCTTCAGTTATGGAAGCTCCCCCCCCCTAAAAGAAAAAATTTATATTTGTATGGTTTATTTTCAAATAGTCTGGTTAAGTTTCTATCATTTAATAAAATTTAGTCGGTATGATGAGGTAGCTGTGTGTGTGTGTGTAATATATATATATATATATATAATCCGCTGAAATAAATTTATAACCGGTTTATATGATGGCTTAAGTTTTTTCCTTACTTGCTCTGCATATAAATTTATACATTATTTAAGCTATTTTCATGGATTTGACTTTTTAATATTTTTAAAAAGGCCTCCTTGGAATAATCCCTACCACTTACGGATTTGGTATTTTTTATATATATATATATATAATATGTGTGTGTACGAGTTAAAGGAACTGGGCTCAAATCTAAAGTCGGCATGGCTTAAGTAATAATACCATCCCGTCGTAGTGGAACACTTTTACAAACTAAAATAAGCAACATCTGAATTCATAGTTATTGTTTTGTGTGTATTTAAAGCATTTTTAAATCTGGATGCTTGTGCAGGGGTCGTATTGTTTGCTTAGTGCATAGAACAGTAGAAAAATGCAATAAACGAAATTACTTTTCACACAGGTAGTCAATAAGTGATCTACTGTGGACCGAAAGTTTTGTCACCTTTACACTCTATTTTCTGTTTCGGATGACTAACACGATCTCCTAGTTTGGAAGAGAGGGTTAGGGTGACACGACTTTTGGACCACCCTGTACATCGTGTTGTATATATCACGCTTTTTCTTTTCTTTTTTTTTTTTTTTTTTTTTCTTCTAAAGTGTAGAATTTCACTTTTCCTTTAGCACCCCCACAAAAAAAAAAAAAAAAAAAAACAACAGCTCTTTGATCACTCAAAATGCCGTATGGAAAAGGCATTATCATTTTTTTAATTGTTTGGTTGGGTTATCATTTAGTTTGGTTCGTAGTTCTTAGCGTTAATGATGCGATCACGCGTTCTAGGATTTGAATGGTAATTGTTATTGGAAAATGGGTGATTCTGTATTGAGCGCAATTTTATAATTTCTAAAAAAAATCTGTGACAAATAGGATCGTTATCCAAATGAAAAGAGAAGAAATAAAATGGTATGTCGTGTCTCCACAGGTTGGAAATACAAAACAGGGGAGATAACTCTTAAAGTTTAGGTTCAGTGTAACATAAAAATCCTTTTGGTTCCGACTGTTGGGAAAATGTTTAGCTTTCCAGTGCTATTCACAGAAATCAGTGGTTCTTTTTCGATCGAGTGTAATCATTTTCATTAAATACAAAGCAAAGACTGTTTTTATTTCTAACTGAATGTATGAATGTATCTATAGGAACTTTTTTTTTTTTTTTTTTTTTTTTAAAGAAACATTCCTATAACTTACATGAAAAAATCCATACATTCAGTTAAAAAAAGAAAAAAAATCTTTGATAATAGGTAAAAGAATAGCCGAAAGCGCTTGCATATACAGAAGATCTTAACAATTTTTACACATTTTGGCCAGAAAAGAAAACACTTGTTCGAACACAAGAAAAATTAAATAAAAAGCTTAATTGTAGTACCTTGTTAGTCGTTTTGATTAAACTGATTAAACTTATATAAAAGAGGGATTTCTGCCCAAAATATATATATAAAGTTATTTTAGGATATTACAACAAAAAAATATATATATATATATATATATATATATATATATATATATATATATATCAAGTTATTTTAGGATATTACATCAAGAAACATGTAAGAATCGTTACACAATTGCATTCGTGTTTCAACACATAACGATGGGGCTCCTCAGGCGATTGTAAATTACTGGCGAGTGAATGATTAATTTAGTGTCAAACGCATCGTTATGTGCTGAAACACGACTGCAATTGTGTAGCGAATCTTACATGTTTCTGATGTAATATCCTAAAATAAATAATATTTCTCTATATATCAAACCCTCTTTTAAATGTTTGTTTTGTTTTACGGTATAATAACCTCAAAGCTTTATTTGATGCCGACAAATGTAATATTTTTTTTCAAAAATGTATTTCTGGTAATATTTTTTTTTCAAAATGTTTAGCTGGTAATATCTTTTTTCAAAAAATGTATTTTTAGTAATAATTTTTATTTTTTTATTTTTTTTTACAAAGTATTTTTAGTACTAAAACCTATTTTTACACTTTCATAGTGTTTTGACCTCAGTTTGGGGTGTTAACTATTTACCCATAGCTGGGACCCTAACATGTGCTACCACCCCGGGTGAGGATGAACCTGGGAACACCAGCAATTAAGGGGTGGTTGCAAGGTTCTCAAAACCTCCCAATCAGATGCCTTGCTGTTGGACGTAGTTTATCGCCTTACCCTGGACGTGGATGTAGTTTATCGTCCTACCCAGGATGGAAATTAAATGTTTCGAACGTTGGAAGGGTACTCAATTCGTTCTCATCGTACCTATATATATATATATATATATAGTGAACATAGAAGTCAACACTTAGAGGCGACAGTCTGTTTCATGCTATATGCAATCGTTAGGCCACATATGCTGTTATTTTTCTCGGCTATATATATATATATGGGTTAAATTGTGGGTATTCTATAATACAATATAATTTGACCTAAATAAATAAACAAACGACTTCCGGTAAAATAACCGCCGCCATAATAAATAGCCGAGAAAAATAACACTATATGTGGCCTGACGATTATATATATATGAAACAGACTGTCAAAAGTGTTGACTTTATGTTCACTTTTATATTTACACGCTCTCTCTGATATTGAGCACTTTATTCCATAAATATAGCATACCTTAAGACTATATATTATATTACATATATATATATATATATATATATATATATATATATATATATATATATATATATATATATATATATATATATATATATATATATATATATATATATATATATATATATATATATATATATATATATATATATATATATATATATATATATATATATATATATATATATATATATATATATATATATATATATATATATATATATATATATATATATATATATATATATATTATATCATATTATAAATTGTTTGCTAGTTCAAAACAATAATTCAATATTTTCCTCGTCAAATCTGTCATTACTGATGCAGCTTTGAGATTCAACCTATTGCTTTATGGTTGAAATAATTTTCCCTCCAGTTCTTGATAAATTATAACGAAGAATTCATTTCTTGCTGATAAATAATTCCGATCCGTTATCCATTACACCGTCAAAACATCCCAAGCGTTCACCCACCTAGGTACTGACCAAGCTCATCGTTGCTTAACTTCGCACGGGAACAAGCATTTCAACGTGATATGGCCGTAAACAAAACATTATTAGAGCAGTTCGGTACTTCTCGGGATGATAGAATGAGCTGACTATTTTTCCAGCATTTTTAACATTGGATTGTGTTCAGTTATTATAATATTAAGAAGTAATTGTTGCTTCACCCTTGACTGTATAATTCGCGGTTCTTTTGTAGACGCGGTTCCTTTTTTTAAAAATGAGTTATTACATCAGCCAGTATTCCGAAGCGGTCACCCATCTGGGTACTGACCAGGCTCGACGTTGCTTAACTTCGTATGGGAACCGGTGTTCCAACGTGATATAGTCATAAGCCTTTGTGTGTTTTGAGAACATAGATGTCTCACTTCAATTATACGAATGAAAATACAAATATTTACATTATCTATCGCCAGATTGTTGGCCTCATTTTCTTGTTATCACGACGTTTTCAGTCATTGTACTCCGTAAATAATGATAGCATTCAGATAGAAAATACAAATAACAAGAATGCGGTCTATCGGCATGTTGAAAAAAAAAACATTTAGAAAAAACGTAAAAAAAAAATGCTTATAAAAAAAAAAAAAGCTATATAAAACAAAAACGAACCATGGACACGGTAGCAATGTACTGGCTATATCCGGGAATTAAAATATGCCTACTCCTCAGCAACCTGTATACCTTTTACAATAGCTCGATTAGAGTCCTTGAAAAACGGCTCATACAATAGCTGAAAGCGGTCGGAAGTGTTTGTATTATTTTTTTTTTTTTTTTACACACAAAAAATTAAGCAAATAAATATTCGCATAAATAAAAAAAAATTGACAGAAATACATTGTCAGTTATTTTTAACGAAACATGTATTAGAGAGGGAGCACTGGCCAAATCACGTATATATATATATATATATATATATATATATATATATATATATATATATGAGAATGTCTCATATCGAGAATATTTAACATTGAAAACATAAGAAAAAAATAAATTATTTTCAATTATGTGGAAATATCCGCCTTTTGCCTGAAGACGGTCACGAGACCAGAAACGCGTGTAGTAAAATTATGGAAAATAAAACTTAATATCTTTTTCTAAAAAAAACACATTCTCTTCTTTTTAATATACATACTTTTCTCTCGTTGGAACCACTACAACCTCTTTCTTTTATATATATATATATATATATATATATATATATACACACACACACACAGAGAAAGAACAGGCAAATTAAGAATCCACCGTTCTTAGCATTTACTTTTAAAAGTGCTCAATGCAACGTAGAGGAAAATATATAATAATGCTAAGTACATAAAATAAATACATATCCCGGTAAATGAGAAAAAATGGAGTATAATTTCCACTGTACTTAGCATTTAAGGCTCAATACAGAGTAAATAATGAGTATATTTTATTAATTAAATTTGATGATTCAATCGTTCAGCATTTTTTTTCTTTCTTTTGTAACTAATCGAGTAATCCCGCCTTATTCTGACTCTCCTATCAGTCATAATTTAAAATGCTAAACTATGAGGTCTCTTTCATTTTATCCACGACTGATAAATGTTTTCCATATGAACCTAACGTCAGTTCCAACTGAAGAAAGTGCTCTCATAAGGACCAGTACTCCTGCCTGGCCGTAAAGAACAACTCCCAAGCCGACTTAATTTATAAACGAATTCTCATAGTGGGTGGGGGAAGAAAAAACTCTCTAAATCAGATCCGAACTGGTAACACAGAATTCCGTTGTGCCACGAAAACTAACGATAGCTCGTTTCTATGACGATTTCTGTTACGGTTCATCATGGTTGTAAGAAAATGAAGGAAACACGAGGACGAGTGGGAGTCCTGTTGTCTTGGTTTCACTTTGATACCATCGGTCAACGACTAGATAGCTAATCGACCCAGATTTTGTCATCATCGCTTTTACGACGAGAACAGATTTTTTTGACATATTACAAAATTTACGAATGCAAGGTTAAGACGATTTTTTTTTTTTTTAAATGGATTTAGAAAGCTTTTTAAAAATGTTTAAGAGAAGCAAGGCGTTTTGAGAAAAACATGTTTAAAAAAATAAAATATAGAAAAAAATTAAAAAGTATTAAAAAATAAAATATTAAACAAATAAAATGTAAAAAAATAATTTACAAAAAAGTATTTAAAATGTTTAAAAAAAAACATACTAAAAAAGATTTTTAGAAATATTAAAATAACGTTATTTTAATAAGAAAAAATAAAGAACCAAAAAAAAAAAAAAACTTAAGAAAAAAAAATGTGAAAATTTGCACCAAATATAATGAATTATTAAAATTATTATGCTAAAAACGGACTATTTATCAGCAAGAAATGAATTCTTCGTCATAGCTTAATAGTCAAATTTAATAGATTCACTTCGGTGGTCCACAGCTAAGACGCGAATTACTAAGAGCAGTGAGAGGAAAATAGACAGAGCGCTTATTTAGAAACATTAAAATAGACTTTATAACGGACGCACAAAGGTGCCTCTTATGTGCAAGTCAAGGACTGGAGAAAAAAAAAAAAAGTCATCTCAACAACAGAGTAACAGGTAATGACAGGTTTGGTGAGGAAAATATAGAATTTTTGTTTTGAAATAGCAAACAATTTTTGTGTGTTTTTATATATATATATATATATATATATTCCGTTGTATGGATATTAGTTTGTGACTCTGGGTTTCACTTCTTTGCGATCATCATACAAAG